GAGGAGGGTTACACTAGAGACATGGTAGTCAGGATGAGCTTATACTTTTTAGAAATATTGGAGAAAAGTGATTAATAATAGCAGTTTTAATTTTTGTACTTACTATTGTGAGGTATTGAATTAGATGTTTTGTATTCATATCTCATTTCATCCTCACCTTGAGCCCTTGACAGGGACTGTTATCATTTAAAGACAGGAAACTGAAGCTTAGAAAGATAAAATGATTCGCCCAGATACACAGCTCATGACTGGGATTTAAATGCAGGATTGATTTCAAAGTTCATTGTCCTAATAGCTGTTTACTACTGGTTCTGGTATTATTTTTTGGACAGGAAAGATTTGGTGTGTTGAGAGACAATCAGGTGGAACAGTTTAGGAAGCCTTAGAATCATGACTATGGATCACACAAAGAGATCATTCAGTACAGTGTGAAATCAAGACTATACATGAAGGGCTGGGTGAGTGGCTCAGTGGTAGAGCACCTTCTAGCAAGCATGACACCTGAGTTCAAACCCCAGAATCGCAAACAAAAAAGTTCATACATTGAAAAATGGACTTACTGAAGGGATGAGAAAAATTTTGGAGAACATTATCTTTAAGTGTATGATTTAAGTGTATCATTTAAAGTCAAGCAGAGAGGGTGAATATTCAGAAAGGAGTCCAGAAATGAATGACTAGAGAAATGGGGAGAAGCAAACTAGAAAGGAAGAGGTTTTAAGAAGGAAGGAGTTGCTCACAGTTATTACAAAGAAGCTACAGAAGATGGAGGGGCATTGATTACCTTGTCCTCTTTGCCTGAAGCTCTAGGTTAAAAAATGTTTTCTTGTCTTAAGTCTTCTCTCTACAATGGATTGAATCAAACTCTATTGCCTTTTGTTCTAAAGTTTATGCTCTCTGTGTTCTCCACCGAACTCTGTGTCTGTTTGTGGGAACCTCTGAATGACAGTCTAGTAGTGAAACAAAGCTTATTCGATTTGTCCTACGTCTGAAAATGGTCGAGGCCCTATGGATGCTGGTCATGAGCTCTGCCTAACCCTCAGTTGCTTTCTGATAACCTGTGTAGGAAGATCCTACCTCAGCTCTGAGGGACCAAGCTTAAGACACACACACACGCACACGCACACGCACATGCACACACACACACACACACACATACACACACAAAGAGTCATCCCTCTGTACCCATGGGTTCGATATCCATGGACTCAACCAAATATGATGGAAAAAAACCTATTGTGCTTTGGGGCCATTATTAAATAAAATAAGGGTTACTTGAACATAATCACACTGCTACAATGGCAGTGGATCTGATAACCAAGAAGGCTACTGGGTGACTGAGAAGCTAATAGTAACAGTGTGGATATACTAGGTAAAAGGATGACTCACATCCCAGGTCAGACAGAGAAGGATGGTATAACATTTTATCATTTTACTCTGAAGAGCATACAATTTAAAGTTTGTAAACTGTTTATTTATGGAATTTTCCATGTAATATTTTCAGAACTTAGTTGATTGAAATCAATAGGTGATTGAAATCATGGAAGTGAAATCATGGTAAAGAGGGATGACTGTATTGAGGAAGTGCTCCCATGAGAAATATGAGGAAACAAGGCAGAGCAGAGAAGAAAGCTAAGCAAGGCTGTGGTTCTGCTGGAGGCCAGCCTCAGCCTGTTTCTTTGACAAGCTCTGAAGCACAAACTGCATCAGAGTGTTGGTGTAACAGTTGTTATGCTGTATTGTTTAGCAATTATTTAGATAGAATTTACATTGTGTTAAGTATTATAAGTAATCTATATATGATTTAAGGTATACAGTAGGACATGCTTTAGTTACATGCAAATACCAGGACATTTTATATAGGGGACTTTAGCATCTAGATTTTTACATCTGTGAGGGATTTTGAAACCAATTCCCTGTGGATATCAAGAGACATATATGGTGTATGTGTAAATATATTTGAAAGCTACAAGGTGCTTGATCTAACAATTTAATATAGGGTAAGGGTACATGAATATTTTCTCATTAGAGAAAGGAAGGGAGGGAGGAAGTTAGTTAACTCTTTTAATGGAGTCTGATGTAATCTGAGATAACCAGAACTGATACTTCCAACATCAACAATATTATATATATGTAACTTTTATAGTCAGATTCAGCTTGAACTTTCCTATAGAATTGACTGTTCCTCCAGTTCTTCTATCATTTCAGGGTTAGTATTCTAATTGTGTCAGTTCTACTTTCTTAGGCTGGCTGGATCTCCTAGAAGCAGAGCCTGAGAGGGAGATTCTTATTCAAATGACATATAGCAGCCCCCCTTTTATCTGTGGGGATATGTTGAGACCCTAGTACATACCTGAAACTGAATCCCATATATCCTGTCTTTTCCTACACACATAATTATGGTAAACTTTCACCTTTTCACGAAAAAGAAGCATTTATGGCTTCTCTGGCATATCCAAATTACCAGCATCACTACTTCTGAAGGCAAGTTGGGTAACTTTTGTACCCTTATGCCAGGCAGTCATCAGCCTCTAGATATGCATCATGAAAGTATAGTGGATCCTCTGAGAGAGGTGCTTCCCATTTGACCAAGGGCAATTTCCTAAAGAAAGGGGGAATTGTGAGCCCTTAGCATACAGTACCATGCTAAGGGAAATAGATATTTTGGCTTTGTAAATGGGATCTGGGTGGGACATCAATGACATCCATTGTAGTTGTCATTCTTTTTCTGATATAAATTGAGTAGTCTGAAGAAGGGTAAAATTCTGGACACTTTGGCAAGATTGAAATGTAGAGTTAGAGTTCAGAATGGAGTTAGTGATAGGTTTATTGGAATGGGATTTATCATAATTAAATAGGTGTTAATTTGTTAATTTTAGATTTAGATTGAAATGGTTATTACATATTAAGTTAAAGGTAGGGTTCATGCAAGAATTGGGGAGATCATTACATTATTGATGAGGTTAGGTTTCAATACTAATCTGTGTTAGTACTAGTACTGCTAGTACTGTTTCATTCATCTTAAGATAGTCTAATGAAATGATTAGATTTGTACTCACTATTAAGCATAGAGGAGTATAAATGTAGAATAGTAGAGGAAGTGATGGGTTTATTTTTATCATATAAGACCACGTATACTCATTGAATTGTTTTTCTTTGAGAACTAAATATTTAGATTATTAGAATTTTGTCTTATATTTTCCTTATATGAAAATTGACTATGGTGGTGGGATTAGTATATAGGCCTGAGTAAATTTGCATCTGATACTTGACTTACTGTTAGATTGAATTTAGAATTGGGTGACAGTATGGATAAGCATTTGGGTTAGAGAATAAGACATTGGGATAAACGGAGGTACAGTACTGGAATTCTGAAGGATCTGACAATGGCTTATTTTTGTTTTCCAGCCTCTACCTGCACTGGTCACAGCTCAGCTCCTTCAGTATGGTGGGCCCCAATGGCAATGAATCCAGTGCCACATATTTCATCCTAATAGGCCTCCCAGGCTTGGAAGATGCTCAGTTCTGGTTGGCTTTCCCATTGTGCTCACTCTACCTAATTGCTGTGCTAGGTAACTTGATGATCATCTACATTGTGCGAACAGAGCACAGCCTACATGAGCCCATGTACATTTTTCTTTGTATGCTTTCTGGCCTTGACATCCTCATTTCCACCTCATCCATGCCTAAAATGATGGCCATCTTCTGGTTCAATTCCACTACCATCCAGTTTGATGCTTGTCTGGTACAGATGTTTGCCATCCATTCCTTATCTGGCATGGAGTCCACCGTGCTGTTGGCCATGGCTTTTGATCGCTATGTGGCCATCTGCCACCCTCTACGCCATGCCACTGTGCTTACGTTGCCTCGTGTTGCCAAGATTGGCATGGCTGCTGTGGTACGGGGTGCTGCATTAATGGCACCTCTACCTGTCTTCATCAAACGACTGCCCTTCTGCCACTCCAATATCCTTTCTCATTCTTATTGCCTACACCAAGATGTCATGAAGCTAGCCTGTGCTGATATCCGCGTCAATGTCATCTATGGCCTCATTGTCATCATCTCTGCCATTGGCCTGGACTCACTTCTCATTTCTTTCTCATACCTGCTTATCCTTAAAACTGTGTTGGGCTTGACACGTGAAGCCCAGGCAAAGGCATTTAGCACTTGTGTTTCTCACGTGTGTGCTGTTTTCATATTCTATGTGCCTTTCATTGGATTGTCAATGGTGCACCGTTTTAGTAGCGACGTGACTCTCTCTTGCCTGTCATTATGGCCAACATCTATTTGCTGGTCCTCCTGTGCTCAACCCCATTGTCTTATGGAGTGAAGACAAAGGAGATCCGGCAGCGCATCCTCCGCCTTTTCCACGTGACCACATATACTTCAGATCCCTAGGAATGAGACATCAAACTTCTTTTCCATTTAAAGTCATGCAATTAAGATTTTAATATCAACACTTTGGAAGACAGTATTAAGAAAACAAATCTTTCTTAACAAAAACATAACTCAGATCCTTCAAAGATGAAACTGGCTGGGGAAGTTCCATGTGGAAAAAATGGCAGCACCAAAACTTCAATCATAATTTTTCAATATTATTTTCTCCTTTTTTTTAATCGTTAGGATTACTGAGACCCTGAGGTACTTATGCTTGGAGCATTAGTACTTCCCATTTTACCATCCAGTCAAAATATAAATTGCTTCCACTGATGGTCCACAGCATTCTTAGAAAAGGGCAACGCAGCTGAAGAACATTTACCAAAGGGTTAAAGCAAGGTGAATGGAAAATATGCACAAGAATACAATAAAACTAGACAATCTGGCTTTAAACTATGACTTTCCATAATTCTCAATGACTTTGTTTCTAAGAAAAGAAGTTATACTTGGATTTCCTTTTTCGAAACCACCTCCACAGAAAAGAAGTATTTGCTTTTCTTCTGGGTTCCAGGCCTTAAGGGGAAGATTAAAAGAAAAACCTTGAAAAGTCTACATTTGTCTACATTAATGAATGATGAAACACTGTTATGAGAGTTTTCACAGCCTGTGGAAAACCTTTCCCTATTTAATTTTTTTATCAACTTTTTGGTGTAGGCAGAAATATTTTTAGAATGTTCATTGCACCAATAGAGAAACTGATGTTTCATGGGGACCAGTGAATTGCAGAGGATCATATAAATTCAACAATAAAAAGTAAGATTTCATGTTCAATTCTATATTGTATGGAAGGGCTGTTAGACCAGTAGGATAGTGAGTTAGGTATTTTAAGATTCCTCCATTTTCTAGACAAGGTCTTTAATCCTGTCTCTCCACTCAACTATGTTGAATTGAGGAATTTCTTATCACTAGAACTCATGACTTTAATGCTGTTGAGCTCATTGTCTTGATCCAACTACCACCATTACCTGTGGAGCGGAAGCAGGAGTGTGTTTGGGAAGTTACCAAATAGTGGTTTATTTCAGAAACAGTGTGATTAGTGATGGAGTCCCTGGGATACTGAGCAACACTTTAGGAAAAGAAGCTATAGAGAACATCTGTGGAACAAAGGCAAGACTTGTTACCACAGACCACAGAGTCAAGAGTGAGAGGGACCATAAGACTGAGTAGGGTTAGTAGCCTTTGTGACTCACTAAGAATTAAGGCTAAGGGAAGAATGGGTCCATAGAAGGTGAGGAAAGCATAGGTGTAGATACCATACATTCCCAGGGTTTTGAGCTGTCCTGCAGGAGAAAACTGTAACAATGATGACTGTGTAACCACAGGAGAGGGTCATATAGACTATACATCCCTGTCAGCTGTACTTAGCATAGATGTGACCCTGCCTCACCCCTATCCCAGGAGTTCTGCAAGCCAGGAACAGCACTTTCAGGAGTGAAGTGGCACTATAGGAGTGCAGTACGAATAGACTGGTCAAGGATTGAGATCACCACCGGCAGAGAAAGTCCTAGTCAGATCCAAAGTAGGCAGGAAAGTATGAGAGGCAGGCAACCAGCAGGGAGGACATGGCATAGAGAGAGATAGCCAGAGAGAGGGCATAGAGACAGCATATTCAACTTCTTGGACTATACTACAGAAAATGAGAATCATGTGCATTGTGGAATTGGCTAGGCCCAGGTGAGTAGTGGTCAAAATAAAGAGGAGGATAAACTGTGGTTAATGCAGGCATTAGTCACTTTGAACTGTATGGACAATCAGCCCATTGCCAAGAAGTGTCCTGACATTGGGATTGAGATGTACAGAAAGAGAGAGAAAAGACAATGATTTTTCTTATTAGGAAAGTAATATATGATTACAAAAATCTCAGATACTCTGAAAATGTAAAAGAAATAAAATATAATGAAAATCTCCAATAAAGATATCAACTTAAAAGAGTTTAAAAATTGTTAGCATTTTTTATTTTATCCCTCCAGATTTTAATATGCATCTGTATGCATGCTTCTGCATGGACATATGGTAATATGTGTCTGTTTCATATTTGGAATCCTTTTGGGGCTATACATATATGGATAATAAACAGGCACATTTAAAATTTTATCTAGGGATGCAGTCATTGTCCTAGATTTTAGAAAGGATTACAAGTCTGTGGTAGTAAATATTTCCAGGATAGAGATCATGGCTTTGATCCTGAATGGCTTAAACTTCTGTGAACATAAATATACACACTACCACCATTATGACCCCCACCTCTTTTCTCATGTTTCTCAACCAGTTAAGTTGTAGATATCAAAAATGGTGGCAAACTTTTTAGAGGAATTTACTAACCTCTAGACCAGATTTCTGGTGTGTTACTTCATGACCACTCACTGTGGCTCCCTGGAAGTGTCTGGAGTAGAACTGGGATGAAGGGGAGCTGTTGCTTCTTTTAGGATATTTGATTGGGAAATTACATATGTTCTGAACAAACCTGCATTATCAAGAAGTGCAGGAATGCAAGCTTTTCCAAGAACATATTTACTTCTTCAAAATATGGAGCCTTCTTTTCAGTTTATTCCATTTTTCTAGAATTTTCTTATTTAATATCTACTTGGCCTAGAAAAACTGTATATGTTTTTCAAGGTGAAATAAAAATGATTCATACTTGCATGAACATTTCCCAATCTTTCCAGACAAGTTCTGTCAACTACTGATTTTTCATGTCCTAACAGTCTCTACCATAGACATTAATTACAGCACTTACTAGTCTATTTTGGTCATGGCTACTTGTGTTTGCATGCTTTTTCCTGGCATAAGATTATGAGATTCTGGAGATAAAGGAACATGCTTGATGTATTTATCAATCTTTAATCCCTATCACTGCTTCTTTATGAAATAAATCCATGAACATAAATTTATGACAGAAATAAGCCTGACCATCTTCCCACTGTCTTAGCATAGACTAGGGACTTTTTTTTTTTTTTTTTTTTTCATTTTTCTTTTATTATTCATATGTGCATACAAGGCTTGGTTCATTTCTCCCCCTGCCCCCACCCCCTTACCACCCACTCCCCCCTCCCTCCCCCCCTCAATACCCAGCAGAAACTATTTTGCCCTTATCTCTAATTTTGTTGTAGAGAGAGTATAAGCAATAATAGGAAGGAACAAGGGTTTTGCTGGTTGAGATAAGGATAGCTATACAGGGCATTGACTCACATTGATTTCCTGTGTGGGTGTTACCTTCTAGGTTAATTCTTTTTGATCTAACCTTTTCTCTAGTTCCTGGTCCCCTTTTCCTATTGGCCTCAGTTGCTTTAAGGTATCTGCTTTAGTTTCTCTGCGTTAAGGGCAACAAATGCTAGCTAGTTTTTTAGGTGTCTTACCTATCCTCACCCCTCCCTTGTGTGCTCTCGCTTTTATCATGTGCTCATAGTCCAATCCCCTTGTTGTGTTTGCCCTTGATCTAATGTCCACATATGAGGGAGAACATACGATTTTTGGTCTTTTGGCCAGGCTAACCTCACTCAGAATGATGTTCTCCAATTCCATCCATTTACCAGCGAATGATAACATTTCGTTCTTCTTCATGGCTGCATAAAATTCCATTGTGTATAGATACCACATTTTCTTAATCCATTCGTCAGTGTGGGGCATCTTGGCTGTTTCCATAACTTGGCTATTGTGAATAGTGCCGCAATAAACATGGATGTGCAGGTGCCTCTGGAGTAACAGTCTTTTGGGTATATCCCCAAGAGTGGTATTGCTGGATCAAATGGTAGATCGATGTCCAGCTTTTTAAGTAGCCTCCAAATTTTTTTCCAGAGTGGTTGTACTAGTTACATTCCCACCAACAGTGTAAGAGGGTTCCTTTTTCCCCGCATCCTCGCCAACACCTGTTGTTGGTGGTGTTGCTGATGATGGCTATTCTAACAGGGGTGAGGTGGAATCTTAGTGTGGTTTTAATTTGCATTTCCTTTATTGCTAGAGATGGTGAGCATTTTTTCATGTGTTTTCTGGCCATTTGAATTTCTTCTTTTGAGAAAGTTCTGTTTAGTTCACTGCCCATTTCTTTATTGGTTCATTAGTTTTGGGAGAATTTAGTTTTTTAAGTTCCCTGTATATTCTGGTTATCAGTCCTTTGTCTGATGTATAGTTGGCAAATATTTTCTCCCACTCTGTGGGTGTTCTCTTCAGTTTAGAGACCATTTCTTTTGATGAACAGAAGCTTTTTAGTTTTATGAGGTCCCATTTATCTATGCTATCTCTTAGTTGCTGTGCTGCTGGGGTTTCATTGAGAAAGTTCTTACCTATACCTACTAACTCCAGAGTATTTCCTACTCTTTCTGTATCAACTTAAGAGTTTGGGGTCTGATATTAAGATCCTTGATCCATTTTGAGTTAATCTTGGTATAGGGTGATATACATGGATCTAGTTTCAGTTTTTTGCAGACTGCTAACCAGTTTTCCCAGCAGTTTTTGTTGAAGAGGCTGCTATTTCTCCATCGTATATTTTTAGCTCCTTTGTCAAAGATAAGTTGCTTATAGTTGTGTGGCTTCATATCTGGATCCTCTATTCTGTTCCACTGGTCTTCATGTCTGTTTTTGTGCCAGTACCATGCTGTTTTTATTGTTATTGCTTTGTAATATAGTTTGAAGTCAGGTATTGTGATACCTCCTGCATTGTTCTTTTGACTGAGTATTGCCTTGGCTATTCGTGGCCTCTTGTGTTTCCATATAAATTTAACAGTAGATTTTTCAATCTCTTTAATGAATGTCATTGGAATTTTGATGGGAATTGCATTAAACATGTAGATTACTTTGGGAGTATCGACATTTTTACTATGTTGATTCTACCAATCCATGAGCATGGGAGATCTCTCCACTTTCTATAGTCTTCCTCAATCTCTTTCTTCAGAAGTGTATAGTTTTCCTTGTAGAGGTCTTTCACATCTTTTGTTAGGTTTACACCTAGGTATTTGATTTTTTTT